ACACCTGCTGGGCCCCCAGGCAGCAGTGCAGGCTCTGGGGGTGCCTCAGGAACTGGCCACAGCCCCAGTGAGGGAGAGCTGGGTGCAGCCAGGTGTAAATGCCTCCCTCCACACCCAGGTCATGGATGCCACAAACTGAGAGCTAAACTGAGGAAACTGGAGAAAATGAGGAGGGAAATGGATAAAGGATGTCCTTCCTGGCTTCCAGGGCATTGCCTGTGGCACGGAGCACTGCCATTAGCTGATCTCAGTTTGCAGAAAGATTACTCTGTTCCATTGTTCTTTCCAATCCAAAGATTATTCCAGTGCTTTGGGTGTTTTCCTGCAGAGAAAAATGAGGACAGGCTGTGACTTATGATTTAGAGTTGGTTTTTAGTAGGAAAGGTAACACAGGGATAATTTAATTTAATCTTTTTCTATTCCCCCACTTCTATAATTTTCATAGCTCAGCAGTAAGTGCAGGGGGGGACATGAGGGGTGTTTGGGGACAGTGTGAGGAGACAGAGCTCCAGTCTGGGATGGAAAAGGACACCCCACAGCATCACTGGGACCTTGGCTGGCTGGGCTTTTGTGGGGCTGTGTCAGTCCTGGAGCAGCTCGTGACTGATGGAATCCTGGAGCCTCTCCCGTGAGGACAGCCTGGGACACCTGGGGTGCTCACCTGGACAGGAGCAGCTCCAGGGAGAGCTCAGAGCCCCTGGCAGGGCCTGAGGGGGCTCCAGGAGAGCTGCAGAGAGGGACAAGGATGGAGGGACAGGACACAGGGAATGGCTTTAAGCTGGAAATGGGTGGATTTAGATGGGATATTGGGAAGGGACTCTGGGCTGTGAGGGTGGGGAGGGGCTGGGATGGATTTCTCAGAGCAGCTGGGGCTGCCCCTGGATCCCTGGCAGTGCCCAAGGCCAGGTTAGGCACTGGGGCTGGGAGCACCTGGGACAGTGGGAGGTGTCCCTGCCATGGCAGGGGTGGCCTGGGATGATTTGAAGTCCCTTCTCACCCAAACCATTGTGGGATTTTCTGAACCATGTTATTCTGGGTTCCCCTGTTGCTGTGTGGGATCAGAACAGGCCCATCCCCAATGGAAGGAAGCTCAGCAGCACATTTGGCTCTTCTGTAAATTCTGTAAATTTACAGAAGAGAGATGTGTGTTAGAGATGGATGTTGTTTATAAACCAGCCCAGGTCTGACTCCTGTCCTGCTCTGTGCTGGGGGGCACTGGCAGCAGGGTTGGCCTGTGCATTGAGTGGGACATGCTCTGTTTTCCTTGCACTTAATCCCATTTTATCCAGAGCTACTCAGCTTTGGGTGCATTCACCTCTTTGTTTGTCATGAGGACAAATAAATGGCCCTGCCTCACTAAAAGCTTATTAATTTTAAGTAAATGCAAATCTGGAGAGGGTCTGGGTTGTTTCAGGAGGCAGTGGCCGCTAAGCAAAGATGTCACTTCACATGCTCGGAGTTTATTTTGCACACAGCTTGGAGGAACTGAAATAAAAAGCAAAAAGATGAAAACCATTCTTAAGTCCTTTGCCAACAGGCCCTTGTATGATACTGTGCAAAGCAGAAAAGTTGTAGAAGTACATGGCAGATGAAAAATACTTAAGGCACACAAAAGTCACTGACAGGTAACATCTACTCATCTCACTATTTGTACAAAGTAGCTTTTATATTACTGGGGGGGGAAAAAAGAGAATAAAGGGCGCTGCATCAGCTTGTGGGCTGCTTGTGGATCAAAAGCATTACCTTCAGTGCAGGCTGAAAATAGAAAACAGACACAACTTGTGAAGGTTTTCATGTGAAAAAGTGGGAGACGAGCTTGCGTCAGGAAGAGCTGGACAGAATTTCACTGAAATGGAAAATAAGTAGGTGAGTAAGGAGGTGCATGTGACACAAAAGATAGGAAACCTGGGTCTAATCTAACTTTCTGCTGTTGCAGATGGCCTGATTTTCTTCTCCTCTCGTGACACATTACCGAAATTTCAATTCTCTGATTTCAATTATTACACTATTTATACTGCTGTAGTTCCAGGAGTCCCTGTAGGGAAGAGGCCTCATTATTAATGGAACACAACTCTAATGGTTCAGCTTCAAAGAAACCCTCCTGAAAGTGGGGAAGGGAGGTGCAGAGTGGCAGAGAGGAAATTCCAGCAGGTCTGTGAGCATGAGGAGCTGCAGCCCTGGGAGCTGGGGGAGGTTTTTGGGCGATGCAAACCCTTCCTTGGTGCAGGTGTTGGGCCCATCCCACAGCTCCTCTCCTGGTGCCCCTGGGATGCTCTTTGGGAGGCTGGGTTTGTGCTCAGGGATGGGTCCCAGAACCAGCAGAGGGAAGCTGGGATGGGTTTTGTTCAGATACTGTGCTGAGAGTGGGTGAAGTGTCCCTGACTGGGATGGATTCCTTGGTGACTCCAGCCCAGGTGAGGGCCAAAGGCTCTCCAGGGTACCAGGAACTATCCCTCCTGTGTACCCACCTGCTTTTATCCCATTTCCCCCCAAGTTTCCTGCACTATTTCTGCTTGATTTTTTTGGCCTGGCTCTCTCCTTATATTTTTTGTGGGGTTTTTTTCCTCCTGGTGTAGAATATTCCTCTCCCCATGTCCATGTGCCATTGCTCAGTGGCCTTTCAGAGCTCTCCTTCTCAGGATAAGTGTGGGTTGCTCTTCCAGGCTTCCCTTATTTTCTTATTTTCATAGATAAGATTATGATCCCTTATTTTCTGCCCCCTGTTCTTTGAATCAGGCTGCAGAAACCTATTTAAAGGATTTACCTATTTATCTTCCCCATCCTTTTTTTTTTTTTTAATTTAAAGACTGGGTTAGAGTTTATTTATCAGCTATACAGGTTTCTTTATTTTGCAGTCTTTCAGAAATGCACCCAGTCCATAAATATAATGAAATTTCATGAGAAAAACATTATTTGATATACAAAAGGCACCGTGCTGTGCTTATATCACACAGAGGGCAGCTGGGAGTTAAGCAAGTGCACAATGCATGTGCCCAAATTATCTCCAGAAAGAGGCCCAAAATTGGGCTGCACTGCTTCCTCTGCCTTCCACAGGAAGCTGTGATTTTTATCACACCCAATAATTTAAATAAAAACATTCAGATAAGCAGCCAAGTATCTGGCTCAGGGAAAGCAACTAGACAGAAATTGATCTTGTGTTTTATAAATGCTGTGGCTTCAGAAGATTTGCAAACCCTGAAGCTTGTCTGCTTTGTTTCCCCCCAAATAAATTATCTTTTCCAATAAAGATATAACTGCTGCCTATAAACCTGTCTTGATGTCTGTCTCCAGACTATCAACACTTCTGCACAATGAGCTTTTTCAGCAGATAAATAAGCACGTGTGGCAGATTAAATTTGCTCGTTGTAACCTTGCTTTGTTATGCACCACAAGCATCACTTCATTGGGGTGGAAGAGAAGGAGGAGTGGCAAAACTGAACCACACTTTGTGTGGATTTTCCTCCCTTCTCCCATTGTGTTTTTATAGCTGCTGCACTTCCAGAGCAGGCTGTCTGTTTAGGGAATAACCCATCTGTGCAAAATGCTGATCCCCTCCCTTTTTTCTGCTGTTTTGGGTAGTGCTGGGAAGTTCATGCTCTGCAGAATGGTCAGGGAAGGCCCATGGAGGAGTATCAGAGAGGCTTTGATGTTTCCTGAAATGACCATGGCAGCTCCATGGTGCAGACAGCACATCCATGGGAGGAGAAGGATCCTCCAAGGGGCTCTGAAAACCTGGATCTCATGACACTTCCAGAATGCAAACCCTACAAAATAATAGAAGGGCCTGAGCCATTTAATCTGTGTGGTTGAGGTTGCTCAAGTGGGCCAAGGAGAAAGGAGAGCAGGGCTGGAGCCAAACTTTTCTCATTTTGCTGAGATACGCTTCATAAATTCCTGTTCTGAGCAGGGAGCTTCCTGCCTGATAATGAGAATAAAGGCTTGGAGTTCTGTCTAGACCCTCCCAGGCTGATGAGATGGTGTCTCATGTGCCTCCCCAGGGGACAACCAAGTCTTGGGCCAGCTTTGGATCATCTCTTCTAAGGGCTGACACTGTGTCCTCCCAGCCCTCAGTCACTTGGGCTGCATTAAAGGGATGTAAGAACTCTGTATAACAAACAACTTTCCTCTCTCCAATATATTTTATCTTTTTATCTTGTGAGGTAGTTTTTTTTTTTTTTGTTTGTTTTTTGGGGGGTTTTGTTTTGTTTTGGTTTTTTTTTTGTTGTTGTTGTTGTTTGTTTTTTTGGTGTGTTTTAGGTCAAGTGTTGTATTTTTAAAAGCACGTTGAAAAAGACCAGATTTTATTTCTGCTCACGTTGGCTTAGCCATAATGACAGCAAAGATGTTTTTAAGCTAATCCTAACAGTGATAAAATGGGGCTAATTGTGCTCAGAATATGACTCTTCATCCTTCATGAGAGCATTAGGTGAGCACAGAGAGTGTGACAAACCCCAGCAGAGTGTTGACTGTCCTGTGGCACCTGGAGGCCGTCCCTGTCTTCTCTTTGATTTATTCTCAGTTATTTTTCCAGCTCTTGTCCTGTGATATTGGTTTTAGGGCTCTGCCTGGACAGGCACCATGCCATTAATGCATTTAGTGAGAGCAAAACCTCTTGCTAAATGCTGCATGCAAACAGCTTTTTGACCTGGTGGTATGAATGGAAGTCATCTGCCTGTGGAGAGTAGAGTGTTATTTCAATGAGTTTACATTCTCTTTCTCTTCCAGACCTTTTTTTCCCCCACTAATGAGACTGTTCATCCTCTATGATGATATCCTTGCATCCTGATCTCCACTCTTAATGTGCAGTCTTTGCCTTCTGCTGCCACCATCTAATCCTCTCCAGCTCTTCCCCCTGAGCCCCTCTGATTTCACAGGTTCCCTCTGAAATTCCTGTGTGTTTTGACTCTGACATTACAAGTTTCGTGTTTAATCCTTTTCCTGAATGATTTCCTTTTGAATGTGCTGCCAAGTCCCTCAAGTACCAATGTTCCCCTTGCCAGATGCTCTTCCCAGCTAACCTGAAGTGCCTCTCCCTGTCCTTAGGTGAGAATGTGGGCAGCAAAGTGGAGTCCCCGAGGCTGCAGCTGTCCAAGGACCACTCCAAAGATTATGAGATAACAATTCCCTTCCTCCTGACTGGAGAGCAGTGGAGACCAGTGAATGGCATTTATTCAGAGGTCAGTCTTCATTTTGCCTATTTGTTTATTCTGAGGTGTGTAACAATTTAAAGGCTGTTGGGGGAATTTAATGCACTTTCACTCTGTAGGTTATAAGAGTGTTTTTAAATCGTTGTTGCCACGTGTCTGAAATTGCTGCTTATTTAATTTAAGGAATGGATAAGGGTTTTGGTTGAAATGATTACCTTTTTCCTGCAGAGATGCATTCTTCTTTCTGATGGCAGAAATGGAAGTTTAAAGTGAAATAATAGCAATTTAATTGCTTGAGATTTTGTCATGCAACAGCAGAATGAAAACCAAGGAGAGGGGGAGGCAAGCACACCAAACAGGTTTGTTTGGTAAATACAGTCTGACAGCAAGGAATTTAGGGACCAGTGGAAATAATGGAATAAACCAGTGCTGGCTGCAGCCTGAGGCATTATCTGGGCTTAATTATCCCATGGGAGACCCCCAAATTCCATCCCTGTGCTGGATTGGGACTGAGGCTCTCCCTTCACACTCTGCTTCCCTTCCCTAACAAGGCAGGATCTGCCCCTGGCTCTGGGATTGTTTCCCCCTCTTGACAGGCCCTGATAAGCTTTGCTCCTTTCTTCCCCCCAGACGTTTGTGAATGATATAGGAAGCTGCACTTAGGAAAAAAAGGCTGGGTTTTATCTCCTTCTTGAAGTATGAGGACAGTTTGTTGTTTATTGTCACCAAATGTATCCTGGGAATCTCTTACCCAGCCTTTTAACTCAGATCTAGTTTGATTCCAGCTCACTTTTTATGTCATTCTTTAAATTATCTGAATGAGGAAGGGAAAAAGTAAAGTTTTTAAATAGTTTAAAAAAAAAAAAAGAGAGAGGTAGGAAAAAAACCAAGCAAAAACAATTCAAAAAGTCCAGAGAGCCAATTAGAAACAGCTTTTCTTGCTGGATTGGGAAAGTATTCCATGGAGAAATCCTGCTTGACTACTGCCACTGCTTGCAGGACGTGGCTTTGGATCACGTTGCTGATTGACACAAGTAGGTGTGAAAAGATATTCCCAAACAAGGGCTCTGACTTTCAAAAAAAGCTTGTCCAGATTAAAATTGTTCCTTCTTCTCCTCTGTCCCTTCCTAAATAGGAGAGAAGGGCCAGGCCCAGTTCTGAATCCGTGCAGTGATGAAAGGGATATCAGAGTGGGTGTAGAATGGCTTATCTTGGAGAGATAACACAGATGGCTTGGTCCTAGATGTATGTGCAACTCTATTTTTAGATTATTTAATTAGAAACAGGCATTCTCCATATAGAGAGAGGCCTTTTAGCTACTCACTGGAGCTCTCTGAGAGAGTTACAACCCAGCATCACTCTGTGAGTAATGATAATGTGATTTATATCGTTAATTTGTTTCCCAGAATTACTTTCAGTTTAAGATGAACACTAGAAAAGATTTGTGGCTTGGTAGAAAGATCCACATGCTGTATCAGCACTTTTTTTTTTCCCCTTTGAATACTTCTTTTCCATGGAAACTTATAAATTAAATACACAAAAGTGCACATCAGGCTGTGGGAAGAACAACAGCTTCAGTGGTAGAGGAGAAGAGTAATGAATAGCTTGTCACATAAATATTGATCAAAAGCACAAAAGTTAAATACTGCTGTATTTGATGGCTAAATGAGATCTATTGTTCTTCAACTCGTTTCAAAGTGTTCCTCTGTTTTTTTTAATTGTATATGAAGTCAAAAAAAGTATGTACTTGTAAGAGGGGAATGGTATTGCAATAGGATATATGGTAAAATAAATAATGGAGTGGCTATAAAAATGCCAAGGGATTAAAGTTATTTGTGTACAGATAATTGCCTGGCAATGATGGCCCCATTCCCCAATCCTTTAACTGTAAATACTCCTGCTTAACAATTAGTCCCTCGGAAAGCACACTCATCATTTAGTGCAGCCTTCTCTCCCATCTTGGAGATAAAACTGTCCTTTTATTTACCCCAGGAGTCGCTGCAGTATCTGTTGGAATCTCTCACTTGGAATCTGTCAGCAATGATTATTAAGCTAATGACTTTCTCGTTGAGAGCCCATACACTGTGCAAAAAATGTGAGATAATTCACACAGTCTAATGGCACAAACACACAGGACTGCTCAGCAGCAGTGAGGAAATTCCATTTACTGAAGTGAAAAAAAGAAAATTTGCTTATCTTCAACCAGATTTTATTTTAATACACTTGGGGTGTGCTTTTTCGAGGACGTCTCGTGATTTAGGTGTTTAGGTGTAAACTTAGGAAAGTTTAAATTAGTGACAGGCAAACCCCAATTTTAAATACAGATATGTAATTAAATTATATTTAAAGAATTTGGGGGTTCCCAAGTGTAAATTAAGGGGTTTGATCATTTACTGGGCAGGTCAGTTTTTCTCTCCACCTTCCCCAGCTCAAGTCAAAGCTCTGTGAAACCAAGGTCAGGATTTCATGGTGGCACCATTTCAGAAATGTTGTTGCTTTTTGCCTGTTTAAAAGATGCCTGAGCTGATGCCAACACTTTCTGTGGCATTATGAAATCCTTTAGGCTGGAAAATGCCCCCAGGGTCATTGGGTCCAACCTTTGGGCACCACCTTATCCATTAAACCACAGCCCTGGGTGCCACATCAGTCATTTCTGTAGGGCTCAGGGATGGAGACTCCAGCACTGCCCTGGGGAAGCCTCATCCAATTCCTATCCACTCTTTCAGTGAAAAACTTTTTCCTAATGTTCAACCTGAGCACAACTTGGAGCCTTTTCCCCTTGGCCTATCAGCATCCTAGATAGGGAAGAACATTTAAAAAATAAAATATAGACACTTAAGAGAAGCTATTGTGGAAATACCTCAATTTGTGCAACTGTGTGATGCTGTTTGTTTAGTCAGGGTTGTTAACATTTCTTCTGGCATCTTTTTTTTTGTTTTTCAATTCAGAAAATGTATCATTTTCAGTGGGAATATTTTACTGGTACCTAATTCTTCTATTTACTGGATATAATATTCACTTGCCAGCCTTAGTGGCTGCTATTTTGAGTGTCCAGTTGTTGCTGTTGAGGAGAAAATGCTGCATTTGGGGCTGCGTGGCAGCAGGATCAGGCCCTGAAGGGTTGTGCAACATCACCCTGGGCTTCAAACAATGGCTGCCCATATTCCCTGCAGATGTGATTTCCTCCTTCCCTGAAATTTTGTGTGCATTACAGCATGTGTTGATAGGTCATTATACATTAGAGCTCCAGTTGTCCTTCCACTTCTCTTTTTTCATGTGCTCAGCACTTTGAGTTCTGTGTTGATTGCCACCCCCCACCTCAGCGCTTGCTTTAAACACACAAGGGTTGGGTTCTATTTTCCTTAAATATTTCTAAGGTTTGAACAAAGTGGTTTCATTTTATATTATTTAAGTGCAGCAAAAAAAAAAAAAAAAAACCAAACCAAAAAACCCTCCTTTCCCCCCCCCACATATTTCCAGCTGAATATTTTTCTTCCAAACTTGGCTCGCGATTCACAAATCAAGCCAAGTTTGATGAGAGTTTGGGTAAGTGATGTTTTAGTACACAGAACACTTTAGGGAAGATTTTTTTGAAGACCATCTGTTTGGCTTCAGCTTTTATCCTCACACCCTGTTAGGGACACAGAGGGCTTGGTGTGTGCCAGATGCCTGCAGCACAGGAGCTCTGGGTCAGGTAATATCAGTGGTGTTGTTCCAGAGCCTCATCCCTCCTCCTGGGGAGACAAGAGCCAGGCAGGAGATGTTTCATGTGGGCATTGAGGGCCTTTTGGCTCCATTTCTGTGCTTTAAAGGAATTTAGGAACCAGTGGAAATAATGTGGGTAAATGCTGCCAGGCATGGACAAGCTGCAGTGCCCAGTGTTGCATTGCCCTGGGCTGGCACTCGTGTTCCCAGAGGGACACAGATTGGTGGAGCTGGCTTTGGACTCAGCCAAAGCTGAGTTCATGAAGTTCCTGAGAAATGGAAAGCGTTTTCTGAGGGTTTGGTGTGATCAGCTATGCAGGTAGACCCAGAGTCACTCAGCTGTGGGGTTTTCTCTGCCCCTGTCTGTGTAGGACCTGCCATGCCATTGCTGGCGCCTGCAAGGACTCAAAGAGAATCAGGACCAAGTGCTTTGAAAGATTTAATCCTCTCAAATTTGTAAAATCACATGGGCAGGTTAGGTGCAGCATTCCTTTCTGGGGGATATTTTGGACGTTTGATGGATCTTTTGTAATCCTGATCTCCGTACCTGTCCAAGTGCAGTATTAACCTCTTGGGTGCTCTAGTCAGGATACAGCTGCCATTCACAAAAATAAATGGGCAGGTATTTGAGGACCTGCAGCCTGGAGCTGAGTGTGGTTCCTAAAAAACCCTATGAGAAGCTGGAAAGCCCTGAGATGCTTGAACTTAGTTTGAGTTTGCAAGTTGCCAGCCCTGGTTGCTTCCAAATGATGGAATTTCAAACAGGGAATTTGATTTTTGATGTTAAATTTGGGGGATATGTGAATCAATGAGTAAATTTTGCTGTGTGACTTCTTTAAAATAATTAACTGTGGGGAAGTGGCTGTGCACCATCTACCTGACCCTGGGCTAGAGCCTTAATCCACCTGGGTCACTGTGAGCATCACAGGGCTCTTTTAAAATCCTGTCACTGACCTCAGTATATAAACACAGATTGGAAAATCCTCCTCTCCCCACCTTGCAGAGAGTGAGGCCTCTTGTTCTGTGGCTCCCCACACCCCAAGAGATTGGGGTTGTGTTGGAGTTAGGGACGAGCAGAGGAGAAGAAAGAAAGGTGCCCATGGTGGGCAGAGAGGGTGGCAAGACCTGCAGGATATTTCCAGCTCTCACTCCCCCAACACCAGCGACTTGGAAATGCAAATAAATCAGAAATTCTTCTCCCCTCTAGGCAGGGGGCAGTGGATTCAGGGATCAGCAACACTGCTTTGCCAAGCTGGAGTGTTCAAGGCCAGATTCTGAGCTCTGAGTGTGAATCTGTTTCCTTCCCTTGCCCAGGCTGGAATAAA